CGTGACCCGCCGCGCTGGGCATGCTGGGACTTGTAGTTCCCCGAGGCCGCGGAGCCCTGCCTGCCCACGTGACCCTGCGCCGGGCATGCTGGGACTTGTAGTTCCTCGGGGCCGCGAAGCCACGCCCGCCGGGGGCTGCGCCTGGGCCGAGCTAGCTGCGAGGTCCGCACCCACCGCGGTGCAGGGGCTGAGCTCGGTGCGCTGGGAGACCAGTTCCGGCGCTGGACCCCAGAGCCGCTGAGCCCGGCCTAGGGCTCCATGGCCGCCGCCCAGCCCCTTCCGGCCCCTGGCCGACCCGATGTCCGAGCGCGGTGGCGCTGACTCCGGCGTGCATGCCCCGAGAGCTTGATCCACTAGATCGATGGCTCCAGAGTTTCTGTGCCAGGAGTCCGGGGTGTGACTAGAGACTGCTTTCCTAACTAGCCCCCAGGTGACCCACCGCCCAGCTCTCGTGGGGGCCAGGAATGTGTGGCCAGACAAACCAGACGCAGCTCGTCCTGTGCCCCTCTGCGGCCCCACACAGAACAAGACAGGTGCCAGTGATAAGGTGAAGGTGAGCTGGGCGAACGAATTACTCGGTACCAGAACTGTCATGTGTTTCACACGGAAAAGAAACGGCATTGGCTGGCCCAGGCTGGTGCTCACTTGTCAGACTGGGCTGACTTTATGGAGACAAAAAGATGAATTAGTATTTAAGGATTCTTAACTTTTTCATTTTTTGATGCCATGAAGGGGTCCTGAAGGCCCGGATTCCTTCTCAGAATATTGCTTTAAGCACCAGCAAGTAAAATACATAGGATTAAAAAGGAAACCAATTCTTACATTGATGTTATAATAATTCTTTTTTTAATAATTATTTTACCAGCAAGTAAAATACATAGGATTAAAAAGGAAACCAATTCTTACATTGATGTTATAATAATTCTTTTTTTAATAATTATTTTATTTTTATGTATTCATTCATTTATTTTTCTTACATTGAAATTAAAATAAATACATTGATCACATGGTACTTGCTTCTCTATTTATACCTTAATTAAAATTTAGCAGCAGGTCTACTAACTACTAAAGTTTTTTTTTTTTAAATATTTTTTTTTTTTACTTTATTATTCAGGACTTGAACCCTGGTCGGCCATGTGGGAGTGTTCAGCACCTTAATCACCATACCACCTGCTGGTCCCATTTTTTGTATAATAATTCTTTTTTTAATAATTATTTTATTTTTATGTATTCATTCATTTATTTTTCTTACATTGAAATTAAAACAAATACATTGATCACATGATACTTGCTTCTCTATTTATACCTTAATTAAAATTTAGCAGCAGGTCTACTAACTACTAAAGTTTTTTTTTTTAAAATAATTATTTTATTTAACTTTATTTTAATTTGACCAGAGAGGGACAGAGCAAGAGAGAGAGAGAGAGAAAGCAAGAAAGCAAGCCACCAAATCTGGGGCTTGAACCGCTGTCGGCCATGTGGGAGTCCAGCGCCCTTAACCACTACCCGTGGGCCCCATCTACTAAAATTTCTCATCAACAGAAAAGCTATTTTAAAATGTCAGTAACATCAGGAATATAGTGTGAAAGTGTCTGTGACTTCTATTGGCACAATGTGACAGGTCCTTCTAATACTACTGTGATGTCACCTGTACCCATAATGGAAACAAATACATACTAAATTTTACTTAGAAGTTAGTGAAAATGCAAACACAATCTTTTTTCCCTACCCAGCAACTAAAATACATAGGATTAGACTACTTTACATGTTTCATATTCTAGATGAAGTACAAAATACAATGCATCTCTCCTTTCTTTAGCATTAGAGGTACATAATCGTTTTGTATTGCATCGTTCCTCAGAAGGAGCCAATGTGGTCTACAGAGAAGTTTTAAAAGAAATCTAGAAATTCTAGGATTTTCATGGTCATTCACCCTGTCAGGAGAATTCATCCTTTCTTACACTTAGTGTTTATATCAGAAATCGCCGGGAACACAGAAATCTTTCATCAAAGCTCATGTAAGACAGGTTAGATACGATTGCAATTGTTACCTCAAAGGTTCTGCCTCTCTGGTCATTCATAGTCTCGGTATTTAGACTTGCACTGTTCATGGCTATGCATGGCTATTGAGCACTTGCCCTGTAGCTGGTGCTAACTGAGATGTGCTTGAGTGTAAAATGTACAATGCCTTCCAAAGACCTAAAGTGTCTTAATTTCACCTGTTTCTTTTTACTTTTAAAAATTTATTTATTTATTATTATTATTAGTAGTAGTAGTATTCAATTTGAGCAGAGAGAGACAAAGACAGAGAAGGGAGAGTGAGAAAGCAAGATACCAGGTCCGGGACCCAAATCGTGGTTGGCCATGTGGGAGTCCAGCAACTTAACCACCACACCATCTGCCAGCCCCTCTTCTTACTTTTTAAAATGTGGCTACTAGAATATGTAAAATGCCATGTGGCTCACGTTCTGTTAGCACTGGTTTAAAGAAAAAAGAATTTGACCCAGTAAAATGATCACAAAAAGAATAAACTAAATCGTTTAAAAATCTAGTATATATAATTCTAAATGGTACCAGCCTAGTTTAAGGTGATCATTTGTTGCCTATTCAGAAAGGAGTTTAGATTACTCAAAGAAAATAATAGTATTGACTAAAGGAATTTGGAAAGATAAAAGAAAATAGTTGAAAAAGAACCCCCCCCCCAAGCTACAGGTAGAACCCAAATCTGGCTCTTAACTTTCTAGTGTTTAAGACAGAGGAAATCAACTAGAAAACTCTACAGAATGCAACATACCAGTTATGCAGGAGAAATAGCTTTGCCTGGCCCAGAGAGTCCTGGGAGGTAATTTTCTTAGGCCCTCATAAAGGAAATACTGTGATGTAGCAGACAGGGTCCCTAGCAGCTTGCCTACAGTGAGGACAATGGTGTGTTTATTCAGCTGTGTCTCATGCCTCCCCTAGCCATGGACATATATTTCCTGGTTAGAACTTTCAGCCTTCACTCATCCAAAGGCTGCCTAGTGTGATGGACATGTGAGAATGTACCACTCATATTTCCTGCTTCAGCTAGTCTAATTGTTTTTTGTTTGTTTAAATTGTCAGAGAGCATGTACCCTCCAGAGAAGGCAGGAGGGGAGAAACTGCTCCCCAATGGGGCACAGTCATGCCACAACTCCTTCTCCATCCTGTCGGGATTTGGGTCATGCATGTGTGCATGTGCACACTTGTGCCTGGTGCGTTCTTCAGGCCACTGGGGATGGGAATCGAATGCATGTGGCCATGTGGGATCCAGCTCCCTTAACCACTATGAGGCCAGTCCCATTTAATCCTGTTCTATTATCAGCTTCTTGAGGGACCCAACTGATGCACCTAAATCCAAACTGCTTGGTCAGAAGACAATGGGTGAGGGAAAATTCTAGTTAACAAGACTTTTCTTCCAAACCCTAAAACCTCCAAAACTATGCCAGAATGTATGAGGCTAAGAACTTTTGTTATCCTTCCTGAAGGCTTAACTCCTTCTACATAAGAGCCTTTTCTTCTCCTGGTGTATATTCTAAAAGAGGCCCTTTGTATCTTGTGAATCTAAATGGTAACAAAATGTGAACACATTGAAGGGCAGAAAGAATATTCACATGGTAGACCAGATACCTAAATCTCTCTAGGGAAGATTCCAGCTCAACCCAGTTGGAAGGACTCCAGGGTCTTTTGACTCTATCAATGAAATGGGAAATAGACATTCCCAAGTGATTTGTCAATGAGGCTGGAACTTGCAGGAGACTGGACACAAAGAGAAAGCCCAAAGAATGAGTGTCCTGTTCATACTCTGAGCATCATAAACAGTGTTTCTCATATCTCAACTTTCAATGAGAGTTTAGTTACATTTTGTGACCTCAACTGTTGTCAACTGATTAACAACTTGCATGGTATGAATAAACAATGTGTTTACTATCTATGTAAAATCCAGTAATTATTGAGTCAGTTTTTGTAGAAGGGACAGAAGACCTACAGAAGAGAAGGTCATAACCTAAGCTTGCTTCCTAGTCTCATATGCTTGGTACTCCATTCAGCTGAGAGAAG